AGAGAGCCGTTCCTAGAGAATATTTGACCCCCTGAACACGAATATCACCCCATTTTTGCGCGGAAATGGTTGTATCGCGCGCTAAAGGTGCCAAAAACCGTGTGAAAACCTCCTTAACTCTGTTAAGAGAGCCGTTCCATAAATTTTGAAGGCACCTCCGAGTTCGCTTCTCAAACACTGCACACCTCATTGCATGTGATCGGACTGATCTGTTGACCGTCCCTGGTTAGCAATTTTGGCGAACTTCTGTAGCTGTTTGGCTCATTCTTTTGCGAATTGGCCCCATAGGGCATATCATATGGTGCGAAAATTGCACCGGTTGGAGTCGTTTGGCAGCAGTTTGTCGTAACATTAGATCCCATAAGGAAGTCTCAACCGCAGTTTTTTGACAGCGATTATATGCCTTGGTCCCACATGCTTGCATTTTGGCCGGGGCATTTACTGCCGCTGAGAGGAATTTCTGCAAAATACAACCGCTCCCCGAATGCCCTCCTCGGTATGACGCCTGCCTTCCCCATGCGCTACCTAAAATCTCTCCAGTTTTTCCCCGAAAAAACTGCCGCCGGGGAAGGAGAGGGGGGAGGGGAGGGACGGCAATTTTCAGCCAAAACTGCAGCGGCCATCACGTTCGGATAATGTATGCAGCCACACCGTTCCCGTATTTGGGATATGCTTAGTTCACGTTGCATGTGGCTCTAGCAAAATTTGGAGCCGGATTCAAGAAGAAGGAGAAGATTCTGTTGTGGCATATTTCAGGAACCATATCGTTACATCTTTCCTTCATAACGTGAAATAGAGGGATTTGTTCTGTTTCGGGTTATACTTAGAGAAAAGGTGCAGTCCGTTTGGGGTCCACCCTCAGATGTACCACCACATTCCGCCTTTCGCCTAGAAGTTTAAGTGTGAGTGAAGAAATGGTGGTATTTTCTTTGGAAGAGCCACGAGAATGGCAGTGAGACTCATCGTTTAATCTTTTGCTGTTTTTTATATTGTGGTCAAATTGAAGCGACACCACTTGTTACACTGGCTCTACCCGTCGCAGTTGACATGCAAGTAGCGCAGGTTGGCAAGTAGTTTAAACTGCTCACAATGTGGGACTGACATGGCCTGTGTACTGTGTGTCAAGGGCAGACTTACGAGGGAAGATTTTGTGAGGTATGAGGGCAAATTTACTTCTGTCATCTCCATTGAGTGGTGCTAATTCTGGTTTACATGCTCGTCTATTTTTCTTGGCGTAGGTAATGTAGTGGCAAGGGAGTCGCTTACCGCGCGCGCGATCCGTGGTTGAAATCCGTATCGGTTCCGGCTTAGGACTACCAAGCATTCTACCCTCCGTGGACGGTGCTTTGGTACCAGATTCGCCTGGGAGGGTAGAGACACTGATCTGCGCGAAATCCTTTTGCTTTATTATTATTGTTACTTCTATTTAATGTTTCCTCGTTTTCAGGGCACACCATCGATTGTCGGTCGAACTAACACTGGTCAACCGATATCAACATTAACACCCACAGCCAACCCCGGCAAAGGACCTCAACCACTGCTTGTCCAAGGAGTTTATCCTCAAGGCGGTCCTATTGTGGTTCAAGGTGAAACACCTAAGGTGTGTTGGTTGTTGTTGTTAATTCGATACTCAATTGGGAGTTTACAACTCTATACGAACTTGCTTGCTTAGTGGCAAAATTTCTTTTTATCTCCTACCGCTGTTTTATTCACAGGTTGGCTTCCTATCTCGTGAGGTAGTTTTGTCCTATGGGAATCTAGATGACTCAATGTGGAAAAAGAACTTCTAGGCGCAATGGGTGGTATTTTTCCCAATTTTGACAAATTCCAGCTGCGTACGATATTGTGCAATAACCTTACCAGTTGACCAAGATATGCCACTGATATGTCATACGTCGGTGATCCCCAACTGGTGGAGGGCGTTGGGGAGTGCCGTGGTCGGTGGAGAGTAGAGGGCGTATTTGGTCAAGCCAGTTTTCCCCCCCCCTGATTTTTGATTTTCCCCGTTTCATTATGGACCTGCTATTTGGTGGCGGAGTAGAACTTTTTCTTTGTGTGAAGTAAGGAGAAGAAAATGGGGGAGGGAGATCGTATCGTAACGTACGACGTTCCCTGTACCTCATGTATAGGACCTTTTAGCTCTAATGACCATAATCATCTGTCCTACGTTCCCCAGTTTTTCCGCAGTTGGGCATTTGACCCGTGAATGGGAGATACGCTGCCTGACAGGTAGTGCGAGTTCTAATCCTCCACAATTCGAGTCAATGGAGATCGCTGTTAACCTGCTAACCCTTTCCCCTGGGTGGCTTTAACCCGACCTTCTCGTTAGGGATTCCCAATCGCGCCGTTACTTAGAAAAGGCTTGATTCGACTTCAGTTGTATTCAGCCAGATTTCGCCGATTTGTGAATCTTTGTTTCTTTTTGAGGAATGGGATTAGTCGACAGACTTCCGAAAAGCTCAGCGATGCGCTTCTGCTTATCTTCGAAGCTCTTTCAGGTCCTTGTCCCAGCTAAAGTCCAAGTTCGACTCCAACAAGGCGGAGATGCTTCAGTTGCAATTTCTCCGACGGCTATTCCATCATCGACACTACCGATGGCGACAGCAACGATGGGATGGTCACAGGCTGCGCCCATGAAAGCTGCTTTTGCTCCGTCTGGGCACAATATTATGTCCAGTCCATGCAATGCGCAGGTATTTAAACTATTATAGCTTCGTCTAGCTTTTATAAGCTTTGCTTATGCCAGCCACCTTCTCTTTTACACTCTTTGGATTGGTAGTTTCTTAAGGAGGAGTTCGTAACTTTATAAAAGTGGTTGCAACTCAGGGATATTCGCGAAAGCGCTGAATTTGTAAGGTGGTAAAGATGAATGGGCTGAACTTTCTGATTACTAGCTTGTCCACGACGATTTGTGCGTAAATGTTAACGAACTGATTTTCCAGCACCGCAGTCTATCGGTATGCTCCGCCTCACCCCAACTGGATTCATCGCCGATGTCACCGTTGCCTAATATAATCCAGTACCATAACCATACTACCCCTTCGACGACCAGGGTCACCCTGCAGGTACTGCTCATGTCCAATTTTTTTGAGTTTCTTTTTTAATTTCCACGTTCTACTCGACTTAAGCTTACCCTTCTGTGTGCAGGCTGATCCCCGATCTACTCGCGTACCGGGAACTGGTCAGTGGGCAGCACCAGTTAGTGATTCGTCGACCACACCAGACTCGGGCATTCAGTCTGTCCCAGGATCTCCACCAAGTAGCCATCCACTTACGCCGCCAACGGTATCAGTTTTTTTTATTTTTACTCAATATTTTTTCTTTATTTCTCTTTGGTGTTTAGTACTTGTGATTTATCGCTGAAATCCACCGTGGTGCTGCAGTTGAGAAGGTGGGACACGTAGAGGCGCTGTGCGCTCCTGGTCACGATCTTATGTCCCAAGTGACGAGCAGGACGAGTTAGCAGTCCCTATTCCTCCTTAGGATCATTTTTAGAGGAGCGTAGACGACCAGAGTTCGCATGGTCTCCTCCTGAAACGCTGCGGAGCAGACTCTGTCGCGCCGCCGCATGCCTCTCCTTCAAGTACCGCAGCTCCAGAATATCCTTCCACATAGGAGTGTAATGCGCATTTTTCTGACTCCTTCGATCCTTTGAACTTGTTCAGTTGAATTGCTTTTCTCTACTTATAGGGATGAGTAGGGCTGGGGGCACAGTCCTTTTTAGCCTAGGAGCGATTTGAGTAGAAAGAACAGTATCCAGTCCCTGAGGCTGTTCTCGTCTCGTTAGTGAAAGTTGAGCAGTAGAAACCTTATGGCCCTAGTTTTTAGGTATGACCACTCTTGGTTGTTGTAGATGATTAGGCGTCTCTCGTCTAGCTGTCCTGCCTGCTCTGTCGTCCCATCCTGCTGTCTGCCCTTTTGTCTGCCCCTAATGTTTCTTCTGATGCCGGCACCATGCTCGAACTCATCTGTAAGAAACAGGATCTTATTTTGTGCGTATTAACTGTTACTTTCATTGACCGTTGCTAAGCACCTGCCGGTTTAATTTTTTTGCCCCTCTACTCATATCCCGCCATCATGCAATGTGCCATCAAACGGGCTAAATGCTGGGAGCAAAGACTAACTTCCGCGTAGAAGATATCACGTCTACGCCCTTTAGGAGACTTTCTTTTTTTATTGTGCTCACTTTGTGCTGAAAGGTCGAGATTGATAGTCTGTGAGAAGGAGTTAAATTTGTCACAGAACGTTATTTGCCCTAGAGTTCCTCTTAAGACCTACTTCAAACGGCGGAGACTTTATCTCTATCATTCAATACTCACGCGAGTGGTAAGGTATTTGAGAGAGGAAACCTGCTCGGCTTGCGGGTATAGCTTTTCTGTCCACGGTCCTTATTTGAACAGACCATACCGAAATTCCCTTAACTGACATACGAATTTGTTATACATTCGTTTTTTTAATTGTCATGCGCTTTTCAGATGCAGTTAGAAGGTTGCGATTCGGTCTGTGAAGAACGATGTGACAATGATGAGGATTTCGCAGATATGCCACGACTTCTTCCGGTCGATCAAGAAGAGGCTCAGTGTAGTAACAGGTAGATATTTTTCTTTACAATTTGGATTTTCCGCTAATTCACCATTACTGTTTTCGGAGCATTTTGATGCTACAGTTCGCGCGGTTTGTCGTGATCCCAATTTCGCACAAGTGGTTCTTTAGAGCTACGAAGTGGTACAGGCTTTGTTTTGATGACACCACCTAGTTTTTCCAAATTTTGAACGGTACCTAATGTCGCAAGTTTCGGAGCAATGACTTGGGAGGAGCAAGGAGCGGGGAGGGCAGAGCCTTTTCTTCGCCAGGAAGTTTTCTCACATTTCGAGAAATTCGAAATAAAGCGGGCTTCTTCTAGCGAGCCCTTTTAATTGAATCAAATGATGAAGTACCATTGTTAAGCTGGCTGGGAATCCTTACGTAAAGCGTGAACTCGGAACCACTCACACTCACCCATCGGTTGTCTCCTATTGTGCTCGCTCTTCTGTATACATAGCGCTTCTTCACTAGTGTGTTCACATATTCTACGGGTTTTCAAACGCTGCAGTAGTTTAACATACCTTGGAACCTGCCCCCCCCCACCCCTGAAAGGCTCGGTCCGGACCTGTATTCATAATTCGCGACTTGAGGGACTTGGACTGGCGACCGCGCCCACCGATAGTCGTTAGGACGATGCCAGTAGTTACCACAGTAGATATTCTCCACCTAGCGACCCAGCGATTAGCTGTGAAGAGCGGCTGGTCCTGGTTGGTTCGTTCCCAAATAGCGTTCAGTCGCGAAGTATAAATGCGGCCCTCAGGTAATCCTTGTGCTCTTTCCTACCTTACAATGCTCAGCTAACCGCCATTGCTTATTCATCTATGCCATTTCTTTCACGGTAGGGCCCAAAAGAGGTCAAGCAATAACGCAATCTAAAGAGCTCTGCGCCACTTCGTCAGGAGAGCACCTCATTTCCTTATAAACATAACAGTACCCAAGCGTCAATCTCATTTTCCACTAGTATTTCGCGCAGAATTCGGTGTGAGAGCAATCCTCTTATGTTTCGCTATTATGGGTTCAATTCTGTCCAAATCTCTAATGTAATTGTCATTTAGAAGGGGCTAAGAATTAGCTAGAATTAGACTTTGAAATTACCCGTGGGAGAACAATTCTTATACTCTTTGATAGCGTTCTATAATAAAATGCTGTGGCATTTTCTCCGGTTAAATCTTATTATGAAGTTTTACATTTTCCTAATCCTATTCTGCTCCTAGCTTATCCAGGGATTCTTTCAGCTGCTTGTCAGTACGTGAAGACGTGACGTCGTCACACGGCTCAGAATGTGAGACTGCCCCAACGCCATCGATCTCCATCACACCTACGATGGATTCGAAGGATATCGTTGAACAGCTCCTCATGCTCGATCCCGAGAAGGCCAACGCGATTGCTAACCTCATCAAAAGGCGGCAGAATAGCAAACGGAGGAGCGGGAGCAAGCAGGTATCTGATTTGTGAACTCAAAGTTTTTTTCCGTTCCGATTATGAATTCCGCCATTTCCTGCAAGGTGGAATTATTTTCTGTGTGTCAGGGCACGTCATGAATTAGTGATCCTCAGCGAGGGGGTTGTATTCGGTCGATGGTAGGAGGGAGGCTTTTGAGCAGAATGGTTTCGATTACTGACTTTTCTCGATTTTTTTTTCTGATTCGGGTACGCAGCTATACACTCTACTTCGCTGCGGACGGTTGGGCGTGTCAGCCAGTATGAGTGTGTCACCCTCTTTGAGCTGTTCTCTGCCTTCTTGTTG